GTGCTTTGAGGAGTTAATGTGCCAATTAAAGCGGTCATTCCTCACCCAATGGAAGGAGCACTGGAACAGACAGGTTGCAGAGACTGGCAGTGGCCATTTTCGACTAACTATTGAAAACTCTATTGATCACATTGACTACAGTTGCCTCAGTCGGAGAATGCAGTGTGCAGTGGCCTATTTGCGCCTTGGCCATGCGGGCGTTGGTGCACACCGGGCATGCTTCGAGATGGCACAGGACTCAATCTGCTCTGTTTGTCGCCAGGAGGACACCGCCTTGCATTTCATGCTTGATTGTGTTAGATTTGCAGGTCCTAAAGCAGCCTTTACCACTGCATTGGCTAGCATGGGAGTCCCTTGGAACCTGAACACAGCCTTAGGAGCTGAGATCCCTGCAGCACAACGCCCTTTAGTATTTTCTTGTCTATCACAATTTTTATTGCAGACTGGCATGGTGAATCTACTATGACGGAGAGCGATTTATTCAAATGTATAAAAAACTTGTAACTTGCCAGAATATCTACCTTGCAACAGGATCATCTCCGGGCACAAGCAGCTTTTGGCTGTGAGGCCCATCAAGTGTGGACTGCATTGGTCCATAGTGTGTTGGAGGCAGCATCCTAGTCTAGCAGAGCTTCGAGTCTGCTGCTTTGCTTTTTCTTTCTGACAGAGAACAGGCTGGTGGGCACATTTGTCGCCACAAGTCTTAACACCAACTATAAAAAAAAGACAGTGGACTAGTCTAGTGTGGAGTCACTGGAGTCAGAGTGGAGTGAAGTGTGCAGTGTGGCCACTGGCCACCAATCCCTTATTAATTATTACTTATTACCCCCTTCATGGTAGTCTATAGCTACTATAGGATTATACATGGTTCTAATTGTAAGACTTTATATAGGTAATCAGTTCCCATTACATTAGAGTGATTTAGACTTAGTCAAGGCTAGGTATATGCTGGTCAAAGTTTCTATTACTGAGTATTACTCATGGTTACGGACACTTACGGCATTAGCTAAGTCAAGATAAGCATTGTGGAACTCAGGAACTGCAAGTGCTAAAGCCTAAGGCTCATGGCTCCTGCTCACCTACCTTGATTTTTGTCTTTTGACAAATAAAATTGATGTGGGCTATGAGATTTTTTAGAATCAGTTCATTTTTAATTTCCTCATTTACTCAAGATTTAAATCACTTTCTTATGTAGGGACTAGGGTAAACGCGGTATATTCCGTCATCGTGGGTAATTCCACTGCTGCCATCCGTCTTCTGGGTCAATATTTGCACAGCTGCAATATGGTGACCAGGCTATGAAGTTCCTCAAAGTCTAATTACTATTTTTCTTTTTCTCCTCACTATTTACTGCCACACTGGTTGGTGGAAGTGCTGAAAGAGAAATACAAGTGAAATCAACAAGTGAAGTGGAGTGATCAAAATCTGAGTTGTGCTCAGGCTGGGAGGTGTGCTACCTGCATACCCGAAGTCCTCAAATCAAATTAAAAAAAAAATGGACTAGTGTGGAGTGGAGTGTGCAGATGCAGTGTGGCCACTGGCCACCAATCCCTTATTAGCCTAGTTATCTTATTACCCCCTTCATGGTAGTCTATAGGATACACGGTTCTAAATCTATGACTTTATAGGTATAATCAGTTCCCATTACATTAGTCAAGGCTATATACTGGTCTAAATTTCTATTACTGAGTATTACTCACGGTATTAGTCGAGATAAGCATTGTGGAACTGCAAGTGCTAAAGCCTAAGGCTCACCTACCTTGATTTTTGTCTTTTGACATCATCAATGACATGGGCTATGATCAAGTAGTACAAGTTTAATGTTACCAACTTGCCATTCAATATTGCACCTCAACATTTCTCATCCATATGATTCAATGTTTCATATGCTAAAATATGAAAATCTTGCCAGTTGCCATTGCAAGTACCATCATCATGATCATCACTCATCAGCATCTACATCTTGATTCCAATAGGCTAATACTGAATTGAGTGAATTCTGTTTACTAATTACTCAGTAATTAGTAATTATACACCTACCAATTCCCATATCAGGACCTGAGGACAGTAGGACGACCAAATCATTCTAGAAATCATCATCCAATAGGCTAATCCTTTTTATTTCCATCAAAACTCTTTATTTTTCACACAACAAATAGCTACTAGCTACTACTAGGCCTGCCGCCTATATTGCAAAATCTAGAAATATTTTTATTTGAATTTAGTCCCATCATTTCAACGACATTTGGCATGATATATTATTATATAGTAGAAAAAATGAAAATCTCAAACCTCCAAGCCTGAAGCCTCCAAGGCTCCAATAAGGTAGATTATAAATTAAATAGAACAATAAAATTCTTATATGAATTATTTTTTCATATTTAATTTTTAAGGGGAGCGGCTACCCTAAAATTTTCAATTTTGGCGTTTTCTGGTTTTTGTGCTCGTCTTAAAGCTTACTTTCTGACGCGTGTAACGGTACCAGAATCATCTCTCTACATTGAAAAATGATTTCGTAACAGCTCCCCAAAGGAGGGCGGTTTTGAGACCCCTTCAATAATCTGTATGGGATTAATTCGAAGGCTGGACACACTAAAAAGAAACGCCTGACGTAAAGCGGCCAATTATGGCATTATCCGGTGCTTATACTCATCTTAAAGCTTACTTTCTGATGTGTGTAACGGTACCACCGTACCAGAATCATCTTTCTATGTGCATTTTTACATACACAATGCACCATGGAACAGGGGGCGGTACTGGGCAGCCTTCAGTAATCCCCATGAGACTAATTCAAAGGCGGGACTATATATACAGCCTGCTGTCGCCAAAGCAGTTAGTGCCCATCATGACAGCGAGGTGAGAACTGAGAGGTATGCAGCCAGTTGCTCTATGCCTTCCTGACTTGGTTTGAGGCTTACTTATGGTATGTTGGCTACGTTACGACTCTTTTACGTCATTTTATGTGCCACCCGGCAGTTTTTTGGGCGTGGTGAAAACCTCCGATTGGTCTCATGGCAAACCTATCTTCTCCTACAGTTTTCAAGCTACAGCAATGAGACATATACCATTCAATTCGTAAAGATCATACCTATCGATTGTAAATTTTCCTTGATAAATTACCATCATAATTATGGGATTGCTGTACTTGGCTTTTGTTAAAGTATTTATTTATTTTGCTAAGTATTTTGGTCTCAAATATGCTTGTATAAATATTCAAAACATGAAATACAGTAAGCCATCTTACCCATCTAACCTCATCAGACATCAGCCAGTCATTTACTAATCAAAGCGTTCCTCTAATTTGAATGCTACGTTCACAAATCCCAAATGACTAAGGTACCATCAAACAGGATAATGAAAGATGGGTGGGATAAATCAGGACAGTCCTCTATTATGGCATAAAAATGTTATAGCAGCAGAACTAATTGAAATATTGCAAAACTAAAAATAGTGGTGTAAACTTCAACATTTTTCTCATCTATGTACTATGTAGCATAAAGAAAGTTAAGAAATCATAGATTTGCAAGCTCTAAAAATTCCTTGAAAAAAATGTCAAAAATTGATATTTTGAAAAAGTACTTCTGTTACAGACTAGTAAAGAAAATATTTGCCATCTTGAGAAATTTTGCTCAAAAAATCCTACAGACAGTTGTTGGCACTTGGCTTGGGAACTTAATTGACATTTTGCATACCTCAATCCAAGTGGCAGGGTGGCCCAGTGGTTAAAGTTCAGAGTACCAAGATTGACGCACTAGAGAGGTGTGGGTTCGATCCCAGCTCTGTGCGCCAGTTTCTGGTCAGAATCCGCAAGGAGGCCGGGCGGTTAAGCACAGCAGAATTGTAGCAGTGAGTTGCGAGTTCAAGAACGCAAAATGCTGTGAATGTTCTGCGATGTTAAGAATCGGCGACAGGCCTACGGCCTACTAAATGCTGAAACCGCTATTATTATTATAAAACAAAATGGTGGCCATATCCAGTCCACAAGACAGGGTATTTTGAGACAACCATAAAAAAGTTTTACTGTAGAACTTTGCCACTTTGGGTTAGCAAAGGCTCTGGTTAACAAAAAAACAGTTACCAACAAAGAATTTTGATAAAATTTTCCTGGAAGTTTTTTAAGAGTTTTAGGTATAGAATGGAAAAAATAGTTTTTGTTAATTAGTAACCAAACGGATATGGTAATATCAATAAAGGAAAAACAAGTACAAATCCCAGAAAACTTCTATTCTACATCTACATCATCTAAAAATGAATAGAAGGACTTTCTAGTGGCACTGTTAGTAATGGATAAGTACACCCTGAATGCTTCAAATGTTTCAAATTTAAGCTTTCTATCAAGAGTCCCAAATAATCTTGTTCCCAGGGGTAATTTGCTTTTATTTGCAACTGGCACCTTGCAAATAGCATATGGAATTTTTTCAGGGATGCCATACAATAGCCCTTGCAAGGACCTTGAGCCCAAACTCATGATGAGTCCAAACTCATTCAAAACTCATTCCATACTCAAAATGGGCCCAAACTCATTCATGAAATTTTCCATGTTATGAAGTTATCAACAAAAAAGAGAAATCCCTTATTGTCCCCATTTTAAGGTGGTATAAGATAATGTCATTACCAAGAAGTAATGTCTTAACCTTCAATATGAATTCTTACTATTCCTGCACCCTAGCGTTTATTTATTTTAATCAATTGACTTGTGTGATGGAAGTGAATTTTCCTTGATTAAAAAATTTGTCTAGATTAGAAAAATTTGTTAAAACATACAATTGGTGTCAAAGCTCCTATTTTAGTAGCTTCAAGTTTCATTTGTCAGAAATATCTACTTAGACTCAATCCAATTTAAGCTTTATATATACCTAGTCACCAAGTATGATGCTTGCAACACATTTCAATTCACTGTCATCCCCACAAACTCTGGCATTGTTTAAATCGGTGTTCCTATTTGATGCAAAATATGTTAGTTGATNTTTTTATTTTCAAATTTGGCTGGGAATCATTAGAGCCCAGCATGGGTCAGCTTGGAGTAGCTTCCTGACCGACTACATCCACTATGCTCTGCTGCAGTGTGAGAAGCAGCACTGGCAGTCTCTGCTTAAATCTGTAAGTTCACTTTTTATTCACTGCTATATTATATTTTAATTATTTATTTATTTATTGGAAAATATTTAGTAATATTTTTTTATATTTCTGTAAAATTTATTTAATGCATAGTTCAGGCAACTTCATTATTATGTATTTCAAAATTATTTCAGCTTTGCAATATTATCTAAGTAATTATTCTATCATAATTTCAATTGAAGAACATTGATTCATTGCAAATAAAAATTGATTTATTGGCTGTGTTTAAACTCTATTTTTGTCTTAGGGTAATCCAAATGGGATCCAACACAGCCTCCCCTTCTTGCAGAGAAGAATTGGTCGTCTGGGGCCCAGCAAAGTTGGCTTTCCTGAGAAGAAGCAAAGTTATGACTTAATTCCAGAACCTATTGCTGTCTTGGCGAAAGAGAACTTTGTGTCTGTCATGGCCAATACTGGTGTTCATAAAGGTGAGATACCTTCAATAGCCATACATTCTAAAATAATTTATTAGTGGAAATTATGTTGTCATGTGTGTTTAGAAAGTAGTCCTGTTACACCATTTGAGATACTTTTTTCTAATTACAACACAATACAATATAGCAACTTAATATTGCAACACAATATAAGGTCATATTGCTGCTAGAAATGACTATATACCACAATCTAATAGGTTGGTATCAATGCATCTGACTTTGATGAAATATTCACTTTGTTACTGCATCAATATTTATCTTAATACTAATACTTGTTCATTAAGTAACATGATTTACTTAATTGATAATTTTTACTTGATGAATGTTCAGTTAAACAATTTAGTGTCAGTCATGTGTTGTATGTGTGCTGCTGTGTGTTGGCTGACTCGCCTGTATACAGGCAGGTGGCAGTCATGTGTTGTATGTGTGCTGCTGTGTGTTGGCTGACTCGCCTGTATACAGGCAGGTGGCAGTCATGTGTTGTATGTGTGCTGCTGTGTGTCGGCTGACTCGCCTGTATACAGGCAGGTGGCAGTCATGTGTTGTATGTGTGTTGCCGTGTGTTGGCTGACTCGCCTGTATACAGGCAGGTGGCAGTACGAAGTGGTGGTCGGCAGCAGCGGTGTCATACAAGTGGGCTGGGCGGTCGCCTACAGTAAATTCGATGCAGAACGAGGAGTTGGTGAGTATCATTACAAATGTATTATTTATTTCATCATTACATTGCTTATTTTCCATAATTAATGATTATTATCTTTTATCTATTATAAAAGTTGTCTAAACAATTCGAGACATAATGAGGATTTTGTTAAAAGAATTGGAATGGACCGTAATCAATGTGCTATTTGTTCTGTCATTCACTGAATTTAGCTTATGAAATGCAACCGATGAGTGATGAGATTTGAAGGCTTCTTGAAATTATTCAACAGATCACATTAATAAATTTCCTTTTTTTAATGCTACTCAGGTAAGTGCCTATTAACTTTAGCTCTGACAAAGATTTTTTTTGTAATGCTACTCATGCAGGTGCTTAACTTTAGCTCTGACAAAGAGTTGTTTTAATAACAAAAATTAATTCCAGTATAAATCTATAGTAATATGATTACTTAAACATTTTTTTATTTTGGTAGGTAATGATGTAACTAACTCTGCCTCTTACTAGAATTACGCAACACAGCAACCATGAAACTTCCTTGGCAGATGAAATTTCGACTGTAATCCATATGGTTTGAGTTTACGCTACTCTTTACTGAAAACTGGATCAATTGCCTGGCATCTTACAGCAATTAAATGCAAAATTTTCAAGTTTTAACTTAGTAGGAATCATAACAAAAGATAATCTTACAAATATTGTTGAGATTTCAGTGTGTATGCAATTCCAAAATATTTTTAATGATTGAGAGAGTAATTTGCAAGAAGGCTGTTAGGTTGTTGGTCCGTTGGCTTTTTAAACAGCTATTGGGAAATCATGAATACGGAACATTTTTTAGCCGTAGAAGATCATTATGAATGATCCTCTAAGAATTAAAACTCACGCTCGTATCAAACTCTTCGTGGCACCAACTCTGGAGAATTTTTGGATTAAACCTTTGCAACTGCCTCATTTAACTAGTTTATTTAAATGAAATTATATATCAGGAGATACAGCGGACTCGTATTCTTACGATGGCAACCGGCAAAGATCCTGGAATGTGAACTGCCGCAAATATGGCGACTCGTGGCAGAGCGGTGACGTCATAACATGTGGCATTGACATGGACAAGAGAACTATTTCTTACATGAGGTTAGTGAGAGGATCATCATAAGCAGAATTTGATTATTCTCGATTATTTTATTCTGGAATTTCGGAAAAAGGTTTCCTTGCAATTTAATTCATAAATGAATATTTTCACAAGAAATCCGCATTTATCATTCCGTTATTTGGTATTTTTTGCAAAAAAAAGCTTCTTCAGCTACTGTAAAAATAGTATTTTATTATTTTCTAATTAAAATGTTTTGTCAGGAATGGCAAGCATCTCGGCGAGGCGTTCAGCAGCATCGCCAGGGGCAAGGACTGCTTGTATTTCCCGGCGATGTCGCTCTCCAAACACGAGATGCTCGTCATCAACTTCGGGGGACACCCCCTGCAGTACCCCATGCCTCAGTGAGAACTGCTGCAGCTTAATATTCGTGCAGATTCAATAATGTTGCATCAGCTTAATATTCGTGCAGATTTAATAAGTTGCACCAGCTTAATATTCGTGTAGATTTTCGTACTGTAATGCTAATGAAGTTCTGTGAAGCCTATAAGTTCGTGCAAATATAGATCAAAATTGGTTTTAAAAATGGGCAACTGTGTGCAACTTTTTATTTATGTATATTGACGAATTAACTATAGGAATTCAGCTGAGCCTGTATTTACATAAGTTGTTTGTCGTATTTGACGATTGCATGGATCTATTGTTAAATATATTTGATGGGTCCTTACTTGATGAGACCTGATCTCGAGCTCACTTCATGGTTCTCCATCAAATATACCTAAAGCAAAAACGTTCAAGTTGGTTAGGTGATTATTTAATTTTTTTGTGCCATAGATACAACGTCTTAGAGGCGGAGCCATCTCTCCAGTTGGCGCAGTCTGAAGCTTGTCTGCTGTGGCTCAGATCTCTCTCTGATGTTTTCTTCAGTCGCTCCCTACAGCTGCAACTCTTTGTAAGTGTTTAGTGTCAATATTACGGCTAAATTACAGACGATCTAATCTTATAATATAATTATAATGAATATATTGAGACGGTCACCACAATAGAACAACCTTGTGGCGCGAATTTTAGGGTCCTTATATAGGCAGACGTCGCGCACACATAAGCTCACCATGGGACGGCGCGACAGTTTCGAGTTCCACAAGGGTCAGCCCTTTGATATCCTCGGCCATTCCGAACTATAAATAAATCATCGGTCTCGCGGTTTTATACCCATACTGTGCGGGCAAGTCACATCCTGCCTATAATTGCTTTACATCGCTCGGCCCGTCTTCCCTACTTAACATACCTAAGCTATGTTTAATATTAAAACAGAAACTAAAGTCAGAATTATCAACGCTTTATCCACCCAGGGGGTATGACTCCCCTCAGCTGCCCCACTAAGCATACCACCGTGCCCAGGGTAGCGGCGTGTCCACGGGTGACGTGGAGGGCGCTGTGCTGTCCATCGTCCAGGCCGTGGTGGTGGCGCTGGAGCAGCTCTGTGTGGGGGAGCACTCAGGGGCCTACGTCGTACAGCGGCACGTCATGGGATACGTCGAGAGCCTCATGCCTGCTTCTTTCATGGTCTGTATTTACTTGTGTTGATATAAGCTTCATATATGGTCAATATTCATTTGGGTTTATTTGTACCACTTTCATTCATGGTCTGCACTCCTGTGTGTTTGTACCAGCTTCATTCATGGTCTGAATTCTTAGGTGTCATGCTTGTTAAGTCATGCTTCATCACTTGCATTATCTTAACAAGGAAAATCCGTCATTATCCACATGTTGCCTCACACGATGTTTACACGTTTCACGTTACTGAATGCGATGTTTACACCACGTGTTCACGTCACCGCATACGATGTTTACACGTGTTCACATCACCGCATACGATGTTTACACGTGTTCACGTTACCACATACGATGTTTACACGTGTTCACGTTACCACACACGATGTTTACACGTGTTCACGTCACCTCACACGATGTTTACACGTGTTCACGTTACCACACACGATGTTTACACGTGTTCACGTCACCGCATACGTTGTTTACACGTGTTCACGTCACCGCATACGTTGTTTACACGTGTTCATGTCACCACATACGATGTTAAATACAATGTTCACGTTACAGTCACACAACGACACCTCTGCGCCGCCCTGCAGAGAGCAGCTACCGGAGCTCATGTTCTTCCTGGACGCCGTGCACGCCTTCATGCAGGTACTGCCTACTTTCAGTTTATTATAACCTCGCGTTATATATAGTTCTCTATTTATATATGTATAGATACGTTAAATGTGATGTATAATAACCTGTCGGGACATGCACACGATCATCTTTATATATGTAAAGATACGTTAAATATGATGTATAATAACCTATCAGGACATGCAATATGATCATTTTCAAAATATTTATCTGTTGATCTGAGTCGCAGCTGATCATTATTTAGGATAATTTGCAAAATATGTAATAATACAAATGAGTACTTTTTCCGTGGTCTTGTCAGCACCAGGTGGAAAAATGTTACTTTCATTTTATAAATTGTCCAGAAATTTGCATTGAAAATAGTTTTCATCTCATTTGTTGAACATTCTTGGCATTATTAATACGTGTCTTTGACCCTCTATAATCATTATGTGCATTCAAATCCGCAAGATTTACGAATGCTTAACTCGCGGCTCATTTATTGACGAAAATTATGTTTAAATATAGGCCAATTCGAACGAACCTCTTTTGAAAGCCTAATCCCTCATAAGTTCTGTACAAATAAATGAATGGTTTGATTATATACCTAACAACTGAACCTGGACACTGACCACAATTCATCACATGGATTTTTCTAAATAATATTTTGATTGTTGACGCGTGTTGTGCTCTCAGCCTGAGTCAACATACGATTCTTGACGCGTGTTGTGCTCTCAGCCTGAGTCAACATACGATTGTTGAAGCGTGTTGTGCTCTCAGCCTGAGTCAACATACGATTGTTGAAGCGTGTTGTGCTCTCAGCCTGAGTCAACATACGATTGTTGAAGCGTGTTGTGCTCTCAGCCTGAGTCAACATACGATTGTTGACGCGTGTTGTACTCTCAGCCTGAGTCAACATACAAGATCCTACATGGGCTGCTGATGCTGGCGACGACCTGGAGCAGAGAATCCTCCACGAGCCTCCTGCTACCACGACACTGTCGTGCCGTGAAGGTGGTCACGGCGCTGCTACTCCACACCTCCACCAGACACTTGATGGTCGATAAACTCCTCTTCGTTGGCGTCCGGTCAGACTTGGAGTGTTCACATGCCAAGCTAACTAACTTATTTAAAGAACGTTTGGATAGAATTGTAACAAAATTGAAAGCTTTGATAAATTCATCAATCAAACTAAATTATTTAACACGTTGACTACGATTGCTTCAATTTTTTTCATTTTTGCACTTTTTTTTAAACAGGGTTGCCAGACGGTCATTTTTTTCGGGCAAATTCTCTGAATCAGTTTTTCTCAATTGCGTTGGCCGGCTAAAATTTATGATAGGGGTACTTCCTAATTAAATTTTAAATAGTGCAAAAATGAAATAAATGGAATTTTTATAGCGGAAGCTACAAATAAACTAGTATACATTGAATTATCGGCCTTTTTTTATTCTCGGATTTGGCCGATTTAAGGCAACCTGAATTATGTACCACCACGTCCTGGAGAAATACATTTCGTGGTACGCATATGTACCACTTCGTAGTCAACGTGTTGAAGAAAGTTTATTTGCAGTAGAACAAAATTGATAGCCTTGTTAAATTTTTCCTCATTTGCGTTAGTGGAGTAAACTCTTTAATCTTTGCAGATTTCCATTTAGTTATTTTATTCGAGCTTTTAGGCGGATTTGTTCAAATTTGTTTGTATTCTTCAAATCTGTAAAGTTTTACCCGTCAGGTTTTTTTGAAGTTTGTTATGCAAAGTTCAAATCTTCATGCTGAGACAAAATTAATTTTAAAGTTGCCAATGGGATGACTCTTATCAAAAATTGTGAATCGTTTGTATAATGATGTCAAAGTGTGACTATTTTGAAGTATGCAATAAAAAAGCGTGAAAATTCATTGTGTAATTGGCCAGTTCTAAAAAAACATTTCTTGATGTTCATGCTGCTGTGATGAGTGAGTATAATAACTTTCTGCTTAAAAGTTTATAATGTGGAAGGTGATTGTTAATGAGTTAATAATGATGTATCGGATACATTGCCTAAGACATGATTTTTAAACGAAGATGTTGGTGGCAGGCTACAGTACTGCTACTCGGTGCTGATGTATATCATGTGTGCAGGCTACAAAGCCTGTTCCGCTACTCGGTGCTGATGTACATTATGTGTGCAGGCTACAAAGCCTGTTCTGCTACTCGGTGCTGATGTACATTATGTGTGCAGGCTACAAAGCCTGTTCTGCTACTCGGTGCTGATGTACATTATGTGTGCAGGCTACAAAGCCTGTTCTGCTACTCGGTGCTGATGTACATTATGTGTGCAGGCTACAAAGCCTGTTCTGCTACTCGGTGCTGATGTACATTATGTGTGCAGGTTACAAAGTCTGTTCTGCTACTCGGTGGACGAGGCTGTGATGCAGGAGCTGCTGCCTGAGGTGCACTGGAGGAGCCAGGACGCGAGGCTGCAGCGCGGCGACCAGCAGCTCTTCCTCTCCAGGCTCCAGATCCTGCATGACGCGCTCAAAAGTACGACACCTTCTGGATACATAAGAATTTTATGATGTTTCTTCAAACTTGTATGAAAAACCTAATATACAATTCTTGATTTACAGTAAAAATGTATAAACAGAAATAGAAGTACCTATATGTACATGATAATTTCCAATCGATCTGACTGGTGTCATGATTTAATATCTAATTCCGATCTGTGAAATTAATGAAAGAAAATGTATTAACAAAAAATGAAAATTATTAACTGACAAGTAGATTGACCACATTTTCAATGATACCCTCTGAAGATCAACTCCGTCGGTTCAAAATATTCCAGAACTGGGAACAATGACCAAATTATCAGAACAATGACCAAATTATCAGAACAATGACCAAATTATCAGAACAATGACCAAATTATCAGAACAATGACCAAATTATCAGAACAATGACCAAGTTTACACCGGAGAGATCAACAATTGAAATGCCTAATAGAAGAGTGAAATAACGTCAACACATTCAGTATGAATTTCATGCCGATTAAAACTTAAAGTTTAGCAAATATGTAACAGTTACAAGGTCCTTGAATCCTAAGCCCCGCAAATGGAGTCTGAAATCATGAAATCAGACACACTTCACTTGCTCTGTTTGTGACGCACATCAGACGTTGCTTGTTGCGTGCCAACGCACATCAGATTGTTGAGATTGTAAAATATATTTTCAATCTCTTTCGTGCCAAATTTGTCCAAATGATTGAGTTCTTAGTTGGCATATTTTGCTTTAAAATTCTTGTTTATTTTACAATTCAAACAAATAACTGAAATATATAATTACATTTTAGGATGCTCATAACTCCATTCCTTATGGGTTAATTAAACTTTGGCTATTTAACTTCAATCAATAGCCTGGCTACAAGAGTTATCAATAATAGACTAAGGATCAAAATTAAACTGAGAACTAGAGTCTTCGAACAGGTGTGGAGAAGCTGCATGTCGCGGCGCTGACGCTGCTCCTTACAGTCGAGCCTGGAGTGCCCTACGCCCGCTCCACGCGGGCTCGTTTCCTTGACAAGTTCCGCAACGTGACCATCAAGCGCAATACTGGGCCTGCTAGGGTACGTAATACTCGGCCCGCTGGAGTACGTAAAACTGGGCCTGCTGGAGTAGGTACGTAATACTGGGCCTGCTGGAGTACGTAATACTGGGCCTGCTAGGGTACGTAATACTGGGCCTGCTGGAGTAGGTACGTAATACTGGGCCTGCTAGAGTAGGTACGTAATACTATTGATCAGCTCAGCAGCTATTCATGTTGCTGGATTTTATATATGATTATCCTTGATAGGATTACATATTTCTCCTCAACTCCCTCCATCCCACTCCATCCCTACTTCCTGTCCATCCCATTTGGTTTGCATATACGTATAATTGGGCTCAATTAGTCGGTTATTACACTTTTACTAGTCGGTTTTTACAATTAGTCAGTTATTACATTTTTACTGCAAGTTTGGCTGAAGTTTTTTTAAAGTAGTTTGCAAATAAGGATCTTTTATACATAAGATGTTTTCATGAAACAGTTTAATTAAAAAAAAAATGGGGAAAGAATGGAGGACGGTTTGCAGGTTAAGCATATCGAGATAATACTTAACATGCATAATGTTTATTCCTTTCAATGATCTATAATTGTTCTCCTAAATTAAGTCAACCAGAAGTTATCATGCCTATTTTATACAATAACTATTGGTAAAATCTACAAACAAATGCAACCAAGCATTATAAAATACCTATAGCCTTCAGCTCAACCTTATATTTTCAAATAATTTGAAATTTCGTTCTGCTACTGCGAACCTATCTCTTCATTCTTTCGTCACTCCAAAGGCATTGGAGACATTTTATCATGGGTTTATGATGAATAGTTTGATATTTTTGTGTCATTTGCAGCTGTTTCAAGTGCCGATCCTGCCGTTCTTCCACTCGTTGCTGGAAACGCTCGGGCAGCTGTGGCAGAAGGAGCTGGCGCCCTGGCAGCGCTCCTGCATTCCTCCGCACGTTTTCTTCGATAATTCAATTGGGCTCGTCGAGAGCAACAGACTTGGAGGCGACAAAGAATATCTCATGAAGACTTTTGCCGAGGAAAGAACCAAAGCCCTTGCTAACAAACAACTTAGCTATAGACAGGTCAGCTATTGATGTAATTCACCAAAGCCCTTGCTAACAAACAACTTTGCTATAGACAGGTCAGCTATTGATGTAATCCTGATTTATTTTTACTCCAGTTCCGTACATCCCTTAAGGTCTTGGTCAAATTATTTTCTATTTCTGTACTATGCTACTGCGCGAACCGCGGCCTCAGGGTGGAGTATGATGTAATCTATGAGAATTGGTCCATAATTGGCATGTCTAGGATTAAAGAAAATTTCAGTTTCATGGTGAAAATCTGTTTATTCAAACTTTCATTGCAAAATTAACGTTTTGTTTCGCTCTGATTATCGTTAACCTATAAATTATGCAAGCGAGACCTTCATATTTCTTACACTGCATTGAATCCAGCCATGCCTGGTCACCTTCATGCTCAGATTAAAAAATTGTGCGATTATCACCGAAATCATCTGCTTTGTAGTGAATACGCCTAAATATTCCGTCAATTGTTAATGTTTACATATTCCACACGGCCATGGAAGCTATAACCTTTGAAACTCGCGATCAGAACACTAGCCCATGACAATCGCAAGTGAGTTGCCATGACTGTAGCTGCTGCGTGTCATGAGAAGTATTGCACTATGTTCAAAACTATTCTATATGTGCGCTCGCGTTCGGCAGTCGTACTTCTGGCTAGTGGACAAGAATCACCTAATTTGTTCATATGGATCTGATTGCGATATCTGGTAATATTTTTCCAAACATCTATTTAAAACCAGCAGTGAATTCTCTCACAAACATGACTCTTGTCCTGAACATGACTTTGGATTCGAATCGGATGTATTGCTGCAAACTACCATAGCGATTAAATTGGTATTCTTCCAGTAGGCATCGAAAGGAGTTTAAACAGAGTGCGCCATAGTTCCTTTAAATGAATCAACGTAAGCTTATCTGAAGAAATGCATTGCTGCGATGAACACTAGCATCGCCCTGTGGCATTCACGACCTGTGAATGCAACCTTTATCATACGCTACCGGTACGGTAACAGCTTTTTAGCGCATTTTCTCATTTATGGAAAAATGCACTATTGTGCTCGCCATGTCCGTCTGTCTGTCTGTCCGTCCGTGACCTCAAGTTTCCGTCGACGGGAAAATGCGCTCTGTCACTCACTGCAGTGAGTACTGAGTTATATTTTTTATGAAAAGCGTTTGATCGCTGGCCGTACTTGTTGCTGCTATAATTTCTCTTGTAAACAAATAAAAATAAATTCAGATGAAATATGAGCAGTTTTGTAACCGCTGGTTTATTTTCTCAATTTCCCCTTCCCCAATGCGGCGCTGGATTAAAGAATGAATTCCATAGGACGCTATTTTGTCTTGGCGACGAGCGGCTCGAGTAGGATTTTGTTTGGTTCCATGTTTACTTTGTCAAGCTCTTTACATGATGTCACGTCATTCCCTAGTGGTTTTAGCTATAATAATCTAACAGCTCAACTTAATGATAAGACATTATTTATCGCAGCTTCTTATTCATTCACCTGTCTTGGGAAGTAAGTAATATCGGTTTCAGCCTTAATTAGTACGTAGGCCTGTCACCGATTCTTAACATTGGAAAACATTCACAGCTTGCTGTGGGTCTCGAACTCTCTACTCACTGTCCCCATTTGCTTTGCTTAACCGCCCAGCATCTTCGCTGATCTGACCAGAAACTGTCGCAGGTAGCTGGGATTGAACCCGCACCTCTTTGCTCCAATCCTAGTACTCTGAACTGTAACCATTGGGTTACAGTTTAGATTTGAGTTACAGTTTTGATCGAAACTATAACCCTTGGTTACAGATTGGATCGAAACTATAGCCACTGGGATACAGTTGAAATCGAAACTATAACTACTGGGTTACAGTATAGATCTAAGTAGCATCTCTGTCTCATAATTACGTGAAATGCCCCACACAATAAATTTTGTGTATTGTTACCAGAAAGTTTTCTTGTAAATTATTAACAGTAAATTGCATTTCTCAGCACTGCGCGTCTGCTGGTCCTGGTTCTCTCCGTAGTGCGGGCTCCTGCTGGGTCGCTGACGCGGGCAGAGGCAGCGTCGGCACAAGTGCTGCTACCAGCGACGGTCCTGAGAGCAGCTGCCGTATGGACACGTCCATGCCGTCCACTTCCAGCGGTGGTGAAGAATTTACTGTATTACATTATATTCTTTGATGTTTTAATCACGGAGGAAATAGATCGAAACAAATCGCTAAACTCGACTACAAACACCATTAAAAGTTCTTAGCAAAACGAGGCAGTGGATATCGAAGCCATTTGAAGGATAATTTTTTAAGTTCATTTTTCCAGCGAATAAATCTGAAATATATCCTAATATTTTTACTTACATAGAGAGATTTTCATAAGAAACATTTAACATGACTCGTGAGGCAATGAATAAGGAACTTGAAATTTCCAAAGTTCAAGTTTATGACTGAGTTTACTTTATGTCAAACACCAGGAAATAATTTTTTGCAATACTAATCAAATATATCAGAAATGACTGCCTAACTGAGTTGTAATGAATCGTCAAATAACTTCCATCAAAGCAATATTGATTTAAAGTCCCACCTTGCTAAGGAAAATATAAGTCCACTTTTCTGTTAACTATTTATGGGAGTGCACTCACACTGAGAAATATTCACTTTGTCGAAAAGCAACACACGACGCTCCAAGAAGCAACACATGACGCTCCAGAAAGCAACACATGACGCTCCAAGAAGCAACACATGACGCTCCAGAAAGCAACACATGACGCTCCA